AGATGCCCACATATTATGAATCAAGGGAGAAACCATCAAGGCTCCAATGCATTTCTCATTATTCCTCCAGTCTAATTCCTTTGCTCCTGAAAGCCTTGGGAGCCTAAGAATAAGCCGCTCCCCTCCCCCCAACAAGTTCTATATTTAAGCTCCGCAGTTAGAGAAATTCAGACCAGAGAAAGGATTTAAAAGGTTAAGGAAGGAAAGGTTCCCCGATGGCAAGGTGGCTGTAAGAGCAGCATGACTTTCCCGGGTTTTGCAGAGCCATCCTTTGGGTTTTAGCCATAGGCTCTAAAGACAAATGGGGCCACACGAGGCACAAGCATCACTGGGAGGACCAAACTACCTTACATGCCTCAAGCAGAGGTGGGCTACAGCCATTCTCCTCCACCCCCATTCGGAAATAATTCTTTTGATTGTTGACCAGTTTCACAATCCATTTTCCCCTGGACCTGTTCTCTCCTACATTTGTTCTCTGCCTTTTCTCCATCAACATCCCAGCTCCCTCCCAGGCCCCTCCCCAAAGACACACGGGCAGAGTTAGGCCAGGTTGTGCAATGCACCAGGGAGCACCAGGGGCTGAAATCCAGCCTGCACCGTTCCCTGAGCCCCACGCCCTGGTGATGGGCTGTGTCGACCCAAGAAAGGGAGGCCTTTCTCTATTTTGCACAGAAGCACCATCCTCACCAAGCTTGAACCGCAGGGACAGCATCTGCTCAGCAAGGGCACCACTTTCTCTTGTATGGACTGGGGCCAGCTCTGCTTCCTGCCCCCTATGCCATCATCGTCAACTAAAAAGCGTTCTTCCATCAAAACTAATGCTTTTTGAGTCATCGATAAAAATATTTCTTTTTAAAGCACAATATTACATTAGTATATCTTTTCCCCTGGACAAAGAGTTTCTCTTTATGTCCAATAGCACAGTTTTAACTGAAGTAAATGAATAAAGGGTTTCGAAGAGTGCCTGGCACATAGTCACATGGCGAGCTCCAACTAAGTATCAGATGTTTTTATTCTTACCTTTTAAAATTATGTCATTCAATGCTGGTTTTACCCAGCAACTCAAATACTTTTAATAGTGATGGGAGGGAAATCTACCTTAGATTAAGAGAATGAAGTGTACCTGCTTCTGATCCGTATCTGGCAAAACGATTGTTGAAAACTGAAAAAAAAAAAATCACACCTGCAAAATGTCTTTAATTAAGCCATACATATGCAAACCAATGAAAAGGACATCTTGCTAAGAGGATAAAACGAGGTGACATACATAGATGCTTCTAGCATAATATAGCAGGAGCTCAATAAACATTTTTTAAAAAGTTTAGGTAAAGGAAGTAGAAAAATTCAAAAGCAGTCCAAAACTAAAAAAGGAGAGCAGCCTGGGATCATCATGCACAGAAGAAATAGACCTTGGTACAAAATAACCGTTATTGCAGTCAATGAATTCCTGCTCTGTATTCACTTTGTGGGAGGCATGGAAGAGGGACTTTGAGTTCCTCTGGAGGCACTGCATGTTATCAGGATATGTTAAGCTCTTCACAATTTATCAGCTGAGCATGGTTACCCTTCTTTTATGTAGGGGGAAAAAAAAAGGAAGCAAGCATGCCTGGCCTCAAGGGAAGACATAACCACCCAAAAGGCGGTTAAAATAAAATGTGAATTACACCATCAACTCTTTATAAAACTCATCTATGTGGAATCCCCCATCCACGGATCATTTCAGATAGCTGAAGTCTTCCTCCAGTGGTTTCCTCTGCTGTTCTGAACAAAAGGAAAAGGAGGGAGAACTCAAAACTAGGGCCTGGGGTAGCCATGGGTTTGCATTTCAGACTCATCCCTCTAGTTCTTAAAGGCCTTGACATCTGGGCAGTTAGAGACGTTTCAGATGGAACAGACATTCCTTCCCAATTTAGGATCTGGCAAACAGAAGTCTTCCGTAATTTGCTTTATAAAATGAAATGACCATCCCCGAGCACTGTGGGTAGGTGGGGATCAGGGCACTGGAAACACGTGTGTCTGTTTCCATATTCCCCACGTGACCGTCTGGTGGCCTCACCTTACTCTGCACGGTCCTGCTTTATGCAGGTCACCTGAGCTGCTCATTTTAAGGTCTCTGAGCCTGAGTCTCCCTAGGTGGGCCTTTCCTCTCCTTCTCAGTTGCTGAAATTCAGTGTCCCACATGGCGTTTGCTCTTTGTAGGAGCAGGTATTAGGAGTCTCAGGGGTGGCCTGGGAAGGCAGCCTGGGCTTCCTGGAGGGCGTGGCCAGCCTGGAGCGTGGGCCTGGTCTGAGGTGGGCTTCCACTGTCCAGGTCACAGACCCGCCCTGGGCCCGACTGTCGGCCTGATTCATCAACTGGCTTACGTAGACCTCATCTCCAGCATGGCTGCCTTATCAGCTCAGAATTCTGCGATTCTGCAAACTCTGAATAAGTGTATCAGCTGTGTAACTTGAACGATGCAGCTGTATATATTCTCCAGAAACCTTTAGCGGATTCTGGGCTTGAATCGCCAAGGTTGGCACCACTAGGTGACGTTTCACTGTCGTCTTCAGCTCCTCCTCACCCTGGTGGTGGCTCTCTACCAACTATTTATGTGGAGCCCTGGATTTTCAAGCTCTGCTACACCACCCTGTCCTCTCCTATCACGGGCAGATTTCTCCCTCCCTCCTTTTCCTTTGCATTGCCATATTCTTAAAAAAAAAAAAAAAAATTCAAACCAGAAGAGCAAATGTATTGACTGTTTCATCTCATGGTTTTGGCAAAATCAGCAAGTAGTGTTGGAATCCTACAGTACTGTCCTTTCATACCAACTATTATATACATGCCAAAACGCGGGGTGGGTACGGCTTGGTTTCTGGCTGTTTTTTGCAGGGTGAAAATTCTGACTTTCTTTCAGGAGAAAACCGTAGACACACGCTGTGTCTTATAACTATGTTGCTTCAAAACTATCATTTTGTTTTTAGTTATTTTTCCCCCAAATACTAGCTTCCAGCCAGATTGTTATCTTTGTGTCAAACGGCTCACCACTCCCCTGCCCGTGCGCCTTTGCACAAATGGGATTCAACTGCTTGTAAAGCCGCAGCGTTAAACCATTATTCCCGTGGGGTGGCCCGCCGCAGGTGTCCCGGCCCTGGTGAGCGTGCTCTGTCCCAGGGTGTCAGCAGCTGGGACTCAGCTGCGGCGTGCCTCTTGTTCAGTGCCTTCTGAAGAGAGCAGAAGCAGGGAATAAGCTACAGCTAGATGTCTGCAGCTTGCAGATAAGAAACATGTTTGGTGACATAGGAAAGTTCTCAGTGTCTGTTGTCTGCTTACTGTTTACCTGGTCAGCATGTGATAGGATTCCCATGGCAAGCATTACGAGAGCAATAAAAAAGTGTGCGCAGAACACTTAAGTTTTCTGTTCTGTGGCGAGTTTTTTCAATCCGGAGCTTTCTTTAAGGAGCCTCCATCCATTAGAGGTGTAACAAGGGACTCTTTTCTGTAAGGATGTCAGCAGTCTCAAATCCTTCGTGGAACGGGGCAAGTTATAAACATGGGGAAATAAATGAGCCCCGCTGAATAAAATGAATGTATGTCATGTCACTTTTTTAGTTTACCAACCTCAGTGCAATTTTCCCCATCCAATTTTCTGCTCTTGAGTTGGCTATAGACATGGAAATGGAATAATCAGTCAGTTAAGAATGGTCTACAAACAACAAATGAGCCCTGGGAGCAGGGCGGAGGAGCCTCATGTTGTGAGTGGCTGCTCAGAAAGCCTGCGTCGCCTTCCCTCCTGACCCTGACTGCCTGGGCCTGTGCGAGACTGATGGAGAGGGCGCTGCAGCAGGAGAGATCGGCTGCCCTCGCTGGGTGCTGAGCCGCAAATCCAACCATCTTGCAGTTCCTGGGAGACCGAAGGACAGCAGAGTGGTAGGGACTGAACAGTAACAGCAACTAGAACGCTAAGAGTTGAAAACCATTAACTCTATGCAAGTCGACATCAGTGAGAAAAGAAACCTGAGAATTAACAGACAAGGATACTCAACATGGCTTGGGTGTGAGGACACCCTCACTTTGTAGGAAAAGGTGAAGGAAGAGAAGAAGAAATCGACCATGGCCAAGAAAGCCTAAGGACAGGGCCCTGCATGAAGGCCAGGCGCGAGCAGAGCCAGGATGTCGCCCGTGGCTTCCCTCTGCACATGACGTCGCAGGCCCACGCCCTCCGTGATCACAGTCTTGGAGAACTCTCATCACATTTCATGTTGACCAAAACTTCTGGTCTGTGAACCACAGTGCTCCCTACAGACATGCAATAACGCTCTGTAGCTTTAGTCCATAATCTCCTTGGCAAATCAAATCCTCTCCCCCCTCTCCTCCTCCTCCCTACCACGTTCTTGTCCCCCCAACACACACACACACCCTCTCCCAGTGTCTGGGATCTGATTTTCTAAATGTATTACCCACAAAGACAAAGCAGAATAACATTTCCATCTCTCGGGAATAATAAAGGAGAACATCTGGGAGTTGGAAGAGTAGGCAGCAATAAATTAGCCTTAAAATTTGGCACGAAACATTAACTTCTACGCAACAGAAGGTTTCTACACAGTCCTTGAATATGTCCAAAATGGCAACAATTAAAGAAGTAGCAATGTTGGTTTCCACACCAATCATTTGTATTATCCCAAGATCCACCTGGAGTGACTGCTCTGTTCTACCATCAGAGAAGTGAGAAAGTGAACTTCTTCCCTTAAACACTAGACTGATTTTGCTTGATTGAATATCAGAACAGAGAAACAAGCTTCAAATCTTTTAAGTGCAAAAGCTACTCAGCTATTAAACACACACACACACACACACACACACTCCAAAAAACTGCCTCCATTCTCTGAAAGGCGATGTTCCAGGAAATGAGGGGCACAGCTCCCGAAACTGCCAAAGGTAAGGGACAGAACCAGTGTGTGGATGCAGAAGGCCACCGGCCGCAGGGCTCCCCCCCTCCCCCCGGCTTTGTCACTTCTCACCTGTGACAAAGGCCTGGCTAGCGCAGCATGGGGAGGGGATCTGGGAGGAATTCCAGGAGATACCGTGCGAAGTGTGCTCGGCACAGCGCTTGCCTGGCAAATGACCCTTAGCAAGCGGTCGTCTGTACCCGCTAGCTGAGCAGGAGGCCGAGCCCACAGACCGTGTTTCCCAACAGACATGCGCGATGGTGATAAGCCCTGGGGAAGGGCAGGCCACGGGGGAGGCAAGCCAGCCACGGGGAAGTAATGCCACATCGGATCAGAGTAACGACAACAGAAGGGAACCGATGCCTGACAAAAAGTTAACGTCTCAAAGGTTAGACAACGATGAAAATAAGGGACCTTTCTCTATTACATGCGTTTTGGGTTTTTTTTGTTTGTTTCCTGCGATAAAGAACGGGTCTAGTTTTCAGTGTGGAGAAGAAGAGGGTATCAAATGTTTTGCTTCAGACAAGTGTCAAAAATGGCCCATTTGAAAGGCTCCCTGAGGCAGTGACGTAGGGGAGAGAATGAGGCCTCCCTCGGTGTCATTCACAAAGGGGCAGCCAGGGGCCTCTGGCCACGCGGGCTGCCCTCCCTTCAAAGCTCCTCCAACAGCCACCCACACTGATCTCGTGGGTCAGGCTCACGGGCCAGGCCCGCCCGCAACGCTGACGAGCTGTGCGGACCCGAGCAAACCCCTGCCTTCCCAAGGCCTCAGTTTCTTTATCTGTGAAAAGGGGAGACACGCCGCTCCGCTTCTGCCTCATGGGACTGTTATGACCATCAAATGAGATGTGTGTGAAGCTATAAAGCAGCACAAGAATGTAAGGAATTCTATTATTAGAAAAAACAACCTATTTGGAAACACTTCCCTTATATTTCACACACTCGTGCCCACAGCGAATGCTTAAAAAAACAAAAAAACAACCTTCTAGAACGGAACTGAGATGCTGACAAAGGACTAAATAACTTAGGACATGTTTGGAAATGATTAAATTCTTAAATTATTATATAGGTAAGCAAAATTATTCTTAGGGACCTGGTAACAATGCATGCTAATCAGCCTCCGGAGAAGCAGTAATTGTCAACCGTTCTTGGCAAAGAGCCAGCTGTCTGCTGGGTGAGTAAATGCCTCAAGAAACCGAATTAGCTTTTTCAGAGGAGCCAGAAAACTGAGCCCTGATGACACGAACCCCGATAGCAAGGGGGCTCTGAGCACGGCCCCTGCCTGCAGAGTTTTGCTCCCTTCTTCCCTCTGAATGAGATTAAAATGAATGCAGTCGCAACTGGTTTATAACTGCCTACCAGTGTTCACCGAAAAACTACCATCAAATGTATGAAAACTCAAGACACTGCCACTAAGAGAATTATACGTTTGAAAAAAAAGGGAGACCAGTTATGTGAACTACCTGCCCTAAGAGCTACTACGTTGGTGGCACGAAACTGCCTAGGTGGGTCTCCCTGGGTAGGAATTTGTACTTTACAGAATAACAGCCCTGCCTGAATATCCAACAATACCAGCTCACACTTGGCTGAACAAGTAGTTCAATATACTCCTATTATAAACTTGGAAATTGTCAATTATCATATGGTTTCACTTATTTGTGGAACATAAGGAATAGCATGGAGGACATTAGGAGAAGAAAGGGAAAAATGAAGGGGGGGAAATCAGAGGGGGAGACAAACCATGAGAGATTGTGGACCCTGAGAAATAAACTGAGGGTTCTAGAGGGGAGGGGGGCAGGGGGATGGGTTAGCCTGGTGATGGGTATTAAGGAGGGCACATTCTGCATGGAGCACTGGGTGTTATACGAAAACAATGGATCATGGATCACATCAAAAACCAATGATGTATTGTATGGTGACTAACATAACATAATAAAATTAAAAAAAAAAAACAAACTTGGAAATGAATCTGGAGAAGGAGACTGAGCGTAGCGTAACTCCACGACTGGCTCAGAAGGCAGAAGACCAAATAGAAAGGAGCCTTAGCACACTACAGCCAAGCAAGTGCGACTGAGTGCCATTCCAAGCCCGTGGACACTCTCCACCCCGTGTCCCCCCCGTCAAGAACCCCCACAAGCCAAATAACAGGTGAATTATTTCAGATGCACGTTAAAGCAACCGCATGCAGTTTTGTTTTGATTTTTCCATAATGCTGATCAAACAAAGAAGCAACATTAAATGCTATCCTGGAAGCTTAGAGGGGACAGTTTTGCAAAAAATATAAGGCAGATGAAGCAAGTTGACAAGTAGTGTTGACATGTATTTCTCATATAAAAAATATAACTGCAACATTAGCGTTAGCGTGATACAGATTCTAAAGCATCGTCACCACATTAAATGGGACTACACAAGAAAGCTGTAAGATTTCTATAAGCCACTGCAGTGCCTTGACTTTGCAGCCACATTATGTATGTTTTAAGCTACTGACAGATGCTCACGAACATGAGCTACCCAAATTCCACACCACTGGTGATAGTGACAAGACCTGACAGGTGTAATTAAGCAACCGTGAGTTCAATTAAAAATTTTATTTGCAAAACTGGCTACATTTCAAGACTCTGATTCTTTCTTAAGACTCAGTTAATTTTGAAAATTCAATGCTCCTTAACGCGTGCGTTCTGCTACCAAAATGGAGACTTTAGTTAAAATTATTATTACAGTTGAACACCAAACGGGAATTTTCAACCACTGACTTATTTTGTTTCTAATTCTTTTAGTCTTGGTTCATGAACTTATGTTCTTCAAAAGTTATAAATAAGTCTTAAATCTAGAAAACAAGTATTGTTTCCTTCCACCCGCCTATTTGAGGAAACCCAAAATCTGTGTGAAAAGAACACCCAAAGTGTCTTCCCTAACAATGCAATCAGCTACAGTTCCCTTCAGTTGGTTTTTCTGTGTGGTGTTTTGCTACAGCAACAGTATGGGAGGTTTCTATCCTCAGATGCCCTCTCCTGAAAACCCTTTATGCTCCTGAAAAGGGTTTAGCCTGCAAGACATATCAAAGTCTGTCACTATAGATTTACTATTGACTAAATATTCTTCTGAGGTTAAGAACAATTACAATTGCTGAGTCTCAAAATAAACAAAACTGATGAAGATCTATTTTAGCATCATTTAGATCACCAAGTGAGATTATTACATAGATAATCACAATTATGCCATTCATGAAGGAGATGTGCGGGCATCATGAAGCAAAGCGAACAGCACATATTAATTACTGATACCTCCTCTGCTCAAATTACTCATCAACTGTGAGACATGTACCTTGAAAATTTCAAAACAGAGGTTTAAGTAAAACAACTACTAAAATTCCCAGCATCTCAAAAAAAAAAAGAAAAGAAAAAGAAAATCAGGAAAAGGAAGATATCCAAGAAAAGCACTAATCCCACGCCATCATTTTCAGTCAAAGCAGGTAATACAGCACCACACTGGTCATCTCCTTGACTACTTCTCCCCGAGCTGTGAAGCCGGAGGGTCACATTGTCTTGGCCCATGTACCCCAGCACCTCACCCAGCTCCCTGATACACTACAGTTGGGAGGAGAGGTCTGAGAGAGCCCCTCTGTGTGGCATTCATCACATTCTCAAGGTTTCCCCCGACCCTGCCCCCACCAAGTCTACCCTCCCAACTTTCTCTCCCACTGATCAAATACTGAACTTCAAAAGGCCATTTCTGTGTCCCTCGAGTCTGAATATATATTAAGTGTTCCACCAAAAAAAGGTGCATATCCATCTTCAGAACTCCAAAGGTTGCCTTGCCCACCAGCCCCCTCCAAAGCTGCCCCTGATACGTAACTGCAACTGACTCCAAGTTCAGTTCCTTTCAGGACACAGAGACCTGAACCCTCTTCCTACCAAGAGGACAAACCAAGAAGAAACTGCTTGATCAAATTCATCCTATTGGACGAGGAGAACTGGGAAGAGAAACTGAAAATAAGGAGAGTCTGCAAAAAGCAGTGCACATGGGCATATTATCATGTGTGAATATTTTAAAAAATACTCCCCAAACCCAGTCAATCCAACTGGTGAGTACCATCAACATCCAAAAATGAATTGAGAAGAAAAAAAAAAACAAAACAGCATCACTTCTTGTCCCAAACTCATCCCTGGCACCTGTCAAAGTCATAGCATCTGGCTTAATACCTTCTAGCGCCGCCCCCCTCCCCTACCCCCCCAAGCTCCATGCCTTACGGTGACAGACTCCCATCTCAGCTGGCTGGCTTCCCTAGTCCCTGAGCTAAGGTGAGAAAACAAGACAAATGTTCTGGCTCTGCATCCCAATTAATTTAAGAACTTACTTCCCTGTGGATCCTACTTTGGGATCTATGAGTTTCAATGAATGACATCATAGTGACATTAGGACAAGCCTTATAAAGGAGTTATTAAACATTACTGCTGCATGAGGTCCCTATTGGTCATTCAGAAGATTGATACGTCCCTCAAGAGAAAAACGAAATAAATCTAAGCTTTTTGCTGGCATCCTTCTCATTATCCATGATGCTCACTCTGAGCCCTGCTCTTGGTACTTCAATCCCCCTTCTCTACCACTGGCTTATTAACTTCACCCCGGAACACATTTTGCCCCCCTCTATCCTAAAACCACCACCAGCCTTCCCTTCATCGAAGTGCCAAACTTCTCAGGGACCACAGTCCATCTGCTGCTTCAATGCCAGCTCTTTCCCACTTGCCCTCTCTAAGCTCTTCCAGGGACCGGCCCCAAGCTGCCGAGTGGGCTCGCCCCCAGCCTTCCCACACTAACCCGACCCTGCCCAGCCTGCAAGTGTGTTGCTCCCAGCACCTGCAACAAGCTTTCCTTTCTGGATCTCCTTCTGCCTCCACTGGGCAAAGCCCTCGCCCGGCCCGGAAGGTAGGACACAGAAGAGAAATACAGGTAATTCCTAATGATACAAACTGTAACTTCATGCGCATGTGTTAGAAGAGAACAGATATCCTTACCTAGTGGGTTTCTCTACTTCCTGAGGGAGTGATAAGGATGTCTCCCAAGGCGACTCCCAAGGAATTCCTGTTCTTTATAATCTGATACTCTAGGCAGTCTGCCGGGAGAATCACTTTTTGACTTTAGAAATAATTCTAAAGATGAACCTGAGTCAGCAAGAAGAGTGAAGGGCAATGAGTAGCAAGCTACAGGTCGGGGTAGAGAACCCTGCCATCCACTTCCAAGCCAGGCTCCCCAGAAAGGCACCCACGGCACACATAGACCCCAAACCTCCTGACTCTAACTCCCGACCCAGCTTTCATCCCCAGCACCTCTGCTGCGTCTGGCCATTGGCCTCAGCTTGACTTCGTAGTCACGGCTCCTGCCTCCCCTCCCCGCAGGGCAGGTGTGTGCTCAGCCCAAGTGCATGCCCAGACCGGCTACTGCAACAGGGGTCCCTGTCCCTTCCAGCCTCCAGAACCCTCGCAGGTAAGAGGAGGGGTTATGGTGAATTGTACTGTTCTCCGCAACAGCATCAGGTGTTGACGACATGAGCTTGGCCGTGGAGCTGCCACCTGCGGGACTATGACAGAACCCTTCAAAGTCAGAATCCTCTTCCTCCAAAAGCAGATCAATAAGGCAGCATCGAGAAGCTTCAGTTGTCCGCAGGAAGCCTGTCACGGGACACCCCTTCCTCATCTCATAGGTCATGTCTTTCGATTCCCCTGGGGGAGCTCAGCTAAACCTGTGTGGGGTCAGGGTTCCAGACACAGAGGCTCTCCCTCAGAGGCCAGGGGCCCAACCTGCCGGGAGGAGAACAGGGCAAGCCTGAGGCCAACGATGTCTGCTATCTGCCTGCAGATCATTGATTTCAATGTTCCACAGAACCGCACTTCCACTCCTGGGGAGAGCCAACCTGTATGAATTTGCAAGGATTATGAGTTTTGGTAGAAAGGATTTTTCTATTTAAAACAAGGAAAAGAAATGACTTAGCTGGATCTGTGGGGGTTGGGGGTGGGAATTAAAGAGTCTTTTTAATAGTATCCATACCTGACCCCTGACTTGGAATTCAGTCATTTGGCAACTTCACCAGCTAGAAGTAGTAAACACAAAATACCAAGTTTAATATTTTTATTATTATTGTCGTTGTTATTATTAAGTAGGCTCCATGTGCAGCATGGAGCCCGATGCGGGGCTTGAACTCACAACCCTGAGGTCAAGACCTGAGCTGAGATCAAGAGTCAGACGCTTAACCAAATGAGCCACCCAGGTGCCCCCATTTAATATTTTTATAACAAAATTTCTCTAGAACTTTAACATCAAATACCTATCTTATTTCTAGTCACCAATCCATCTATCCCAAATATATTTATTTCTCACCACATGCCAGGTATTATGTTTAGAGCTGAAGAAACACACATTAGGATATGCTGTGTACTCTAACAAGGTCGGAAAACTTATCTGAAAATATGTACAACACAAAATACAAGGTGCTCTGTAAGAGGCACACCCGAAGTACAATGGAGCATTCGATGCAGCCTGTGGATGTCAGCGAGAGGACATGGCAATGTGATGGCATGCTTCATAGGGATGACAGCTATGGCAATACTAGGACATCTCAGCCCAGAGGTCCACCTCCCAACCGAAAACCACCTCATCATGTCCTGACGCCATGATAACCTTCCCAGTGGTCAGAGCCAGTCAGGAGCGAGAAAGCAACTGGGGACACATAAGAGTAGCAAGCTAGAATTGCTTCAGGGCTGGAAACA